ATTGAATACTTAGAACGACTCAAGTTATCTACCAAGCTTGTACATTTTAAGCTCGCTCAAGCTCGACTCATATAATTAAAAAGCAATTCAAAAATATGTAAATTCATTACACCCTGATAAATAAGAAATGTGATTGTTTGAAATGCCCTCTCTTGGAAGCTAATCAGGTACAAAACGCATTACTGCAAGATGGCTCTTTGCAGTCACAATTGAGAGTTCTCGTACTTTAGAAAGTTGTTTGTCATTTTATCACTTAAAACGTATGAAGAATATTTTTCACTAAATTATTCTCATTTAGCGTGCAAATGAAATCACAAGTGCTCAACTATCTGTAAATAGTACCATATTCTATAAAATTAGAATCATTACAAAAAAAGCTAGCAAACATTCCATTACCTGTAACTTTGGAGTAGTGAATTCACCAAATAACTTGACATGGAATATGTGTACATCAAATGGGCGATATGTGACAAGTATATATTCTTGATAGACATCCATCACCATTAGTTTAGCCAGCAATGGTTTTTGACAAAGTAGCGAGCTCTAATCAAGATGATATCTTGGATAGAAAAGCAATTCGTAACTGAAATTTTACATCAGACCATTATAAATATCCCACAGTACATAATAAAACAACTAAAAAAATAATCCACACTGGTTCCATATCTCACACCCTTCTCTCTTTCTACTCCGGCTCTCTACTCTAACTACCAGTTTTTTATTCTTCAAGTGCACATAACGAATTACTTAAACCCCACAAGATTTGGAAAAGCAAGGCACCGCACTCTTCATTGCACATACTTCATAACAAACACCTTATCAATAAGTTTGCAAGTACAGATGAAATTCACACCGAAATGTTCTTGTATAGTGAAAACAATGACAAAAGTAGGCAACTTTAATTGGAGCAGAAATTTCACAAACACATAATCAACATAAAAGTTTAAATTTTGACATTACTCTAGCAAACAGCACAAAGGCAATAAGCTATCTATCTTCAAAAGCCTCCCATCCCTGATTTAGAGACATCAGTCATCCAAAAATCTCAAAAACATTTTCCCATCTTGAAAAGACAAACAAATGCCACAATCACATATGAAGTTCAAAGCTCAAACAAATAAATGGACAACATAACAAAGTTGCCGAAAAGTTTCCAGATCTACATTGTCGTTATCAGGCAGGAAATTCACATTTTACAACATATCAGAAAACTATTGCATACCTGACATACAGGTTCCCCCCACTCTCACTGGGTAATCCCCTGTAGCTCTTATAACTGCCACAACCTACGTGCAGCATCAAACGAAAATCATAAACAAAAGATAACAAAATTCACAAGAAAAGACGATTTCAGTTACCAATAAAATCCAAGCAGTTGTAACTAAGGCAACATTTCCCACTGCATCGAGCCCAAAACACAAATATTAGGCCTAATATTTTCATTAAATATAGACTAGTTTAACTATGTCGAATAAATTCCAAAAAAGTCCCATTCTTTTCCCCAGCCTTCTCAGCAAACAAACAATCATAGGTTCAGGTAAAGGGACAAAAAACTACCTGCAACAAAACACTCAAACTTACGAAAATTCAAAACAACCTATATATCCTGTTGCAGTCACCTATCACTGAAAGCTTGAGTCCTAGTTTACATATCAAAACCCACAATTAAGCAGTATTGAAAAAAGCTAATTAACTGATTGCAATGCAAGTTTACAACGAACAAGGACTTACCTCACCACGATCACGAGGATGGTTATACTGGCACCGACCACCGTATCCAAAGAACCCGGTTCGCATGTAGTAGACACAGTTGGGCACGCCGGGTCTCTCTGGGTACGATTCGCTGCTCGTCAGCCCCAATTGCCACATTTGCTCTACAATTCCCCCGCAAACCAGAACAAAACCCCAATCACAACCCCACATTACCAAACCAAACACAAAACCCTAGAAACCCCAGATTACGAAATTAGCACAAATCGAGCTCAAACGAAGCGAAATTAAAACGCCGAGCAAGTAAAGGAGCCAGAGATCCAATGATGAGGATGATGGAGCCAGGGTGGCCAGCAGAAACCCAACCGGATATTGAACAACAGGCATATCAACGAGAGATGAAGCTGAGAGGTTGTACCTCATGGTCTGCACTCGATGGTCAAATTTGCATGTAAATCCAAACTTGCACTGACCATTTTGTAGGTAGAATGTACACGGTTGCACTCCCTGTCCAAACACGATGGTTAATTTTCTCCATAGAATATGACATTGTTTAACTAATTAATGAAATATACGCAATTCACCACATATATGTTAAAATGCTCAAAATAATCGACACGGGCACAAAAAGGCACGACATCTAACATTAAAAATCTAAAAACGTCTGTTGCTTCACGATAATACTTTTACAAAGTGGCTAACCAAATTTAAATAATAAAACAAAAAATGTGAAGAAGAAGACTGAACTTGCAAGACCAGGTAAAGAAAAGCAACCCTACATTAGAGGGGAAAGATATCTCAAAGAATGAGGGCAATAGCAATTCTATCAACGATGAACAAACATTTTCTCAAAAAACAGCATCTCAAAACAACACAAATTCTGTAACATTTTTCCCCAATTTTTCCATCAGACCATTATAGATATGGAGAGAGGGTAGCGTGAGAATGTGTTCGGAGATGACCTGGAGAAAACGACGACGTCGAGACTGTTGAGGATCCAGATGGCTCTGATGCTGCAACCTCCGGTCATGGCTTCTCTAAGCAACTGATTATCCGACAGAAGACAACGTCTCACACCTCTGCGGGTTCCGGAAATGTTAAATCTTCAACTCGCTGTTTTAAATTCCATTACTACGGCGTCGTTTCAATCTAGTTATTTAAAGGAAAAAGAAAGGGAAAATATTCTTGATCAGTATCTTCAGACTGCACAACAAGCAATCGTTCATCACCATATATCACTTGACGAACGTATGTAAATTCAAACAAGAACTACAAACAAGACAGTAAAAGTTTCAAATATGTAAATTCAGATTCTTTCTTCAAAAATGTTCACTATAGGGAAGAAACACTACAATATTCTACAAGAACAGTTAATGCAATAAATTGGAGAAAACCATGGTTAAAGCATATTTCCCCAGAAGGGCAACAACTTCAAAATTGGTGGATAATATAAGAATTCTCAACATATTAATGTAGAGAAGTATCATCAGAACATCCTACTATCTGTCAACATCATCTTGATATTTGGTTCTATGAAAGTGAAACAGAATATGATTAAACAATAAACATGTACCTAATGAACCTATATCCGTGTACTTGTCACTGAAGGCATACACATCCACCTCTATCTGGAACTTGGTAAATTCCGCAGCCATCTGCTTGTAGAAAGGATCCCCTAGTAGTCTTAGTGGATGCTCTTTATCAGAGCCATAGACACGAAGATCATCTCCACACAACTTTAAGCGACCAACACCAAGAGATGGCAGTGTGTTTTGAAAAATTAACAATTTCCCCCCAAGGTTGGTCTGCAAAAGCACACACGTGGACATAAGTTAATGCAAAGTAAATGCACAACCAGACTCTTGGAACTGCATAATGAAGTACTAAATAGTCAATTACTTAAGGAATACATAACTTAACACACTGCTTTTATAATTGGTGATAAATTTTATCCAAAGGTAAAATTAAAATTGCTATTTGTGAAGAAGCTCACACTCCATAAGCATAAGCGAGGCTTTAAGAGCTGGACCAAAAGCAGACTCCACATTCACGTTGTCTTGAAACATAGACTCCGCTACGCTTCTTGATTCAGATAGATTAACAAGAAGATCATCTGGCAATGGAACAAATACATCATCCAGATCTGAGACCACCATCATTTGAGGCTGAGTCAAAGATAAATGCACATAAAACTCACAGGATCTCAGCACAAATGTTGGTAGTCGGACAAAAAAAAAAAAAAAAAAAAAAAAAAAAAACAAATTATGTTAACACTTAAGCGTGATAACAGAAAACACATACCTTCAAAGCATGATCGGATGGTTTGGGCCATAACCTGCAAAGAGGTCATCCATAAATTTCAATAATTCCAACAGAGAGGTAAACGGACCTTTGGTAGTAGGTAATCAAAGATATAATAAAAACAACTCAAATGAAAAGAGATCACAACCTTCCATGAGACTAACATAAAACATAAAACTTACATGATATCTTTATCTTTATAGAATGGAGACGATCAGACGATTTGTTGGGAATATTAGTGTGGGTAGATAAGAAGCGGTGTTAAACCCTCAGCCTCCTGCTTTTGCCTTTACAAGTTTATATTAATCCTCATCCGAACTACAATAATAACTCTCACTATCCTCACTACTATCATTTCCGGATTCCCATTCGTCCTCATCTTCGTTTGCCTCTTTTGGTGCATTGTATTGAGGCAAATCACCAAGGTCAATTGATATTTCGAATTCGGGTACTCCAAGTATGTTAAACGGTTCTTGGACAATATTAGTATCTTGGAGTGTTTCTTCACTAATTTCTATCGAAGATGATAACTGTTGGTCAGCGACGTCGTCGTTGTCATCATGATCTAGTTCCGGAATATCATATAGCCCTCTTCGCTCAATCTTCTGAACAACTTTCCAACCATTGCCGGCTTTAGGGTCGTCTAGATAGAATATTTGTTTCACCATAGCTGCCAAAATGTATGGGTCTTCATCGTACCAATGTCTCGTACTGTTTACTGATAGTAAACCATGATCTCACTTAACACTCGTTCGGTTATGTGGGTTTGTATCAAACCAAAGGCACTTAAATAGTATCACTTGACACCTGTATTTGTAAACCAATTGTACTACACTAGTTAGTTTGCCATAAAAATTAATGTCTTCACTGTCGCCTGCACCCGGGACATGAACACCACTATTTTGAGTAGACAACTTGTCATCACGTGTTGCCCCCAAGAACTTGATCTCGTTTACATGACAACCCGAGAACAATTCAACGTGAAGCGGTCATCTCGCCAAGTTATATAATTCTTCATCGTAAGAGGGTGAATTCAATTCCTTCAATTTGTTCATCTAATATAACATATACAAAAAGTTAACATGTTAGTGTAACCAAATTTAAAGAAAGGCATGAACAAGTTGGAAAATATGCTCAATTTAAACCACATACAACTTACATGTGCGTGAAACCACGAAGGAAACAAGTCACGGTGCTTCTTGGCATATAAATGTGAAGGATGTTCCCGCTTCATCAACTGTTCATGCTCTTCAAGGTATGGCAAAGCCTCCTCACAATTGTTGAGTATGAACCAATGCGTTACCTCCATGTCATTTTTGGTAAACGATTCGCCTTTTACAGGCTCACCAAATGGTCGCGCAATTTGGGCAAAAACAGACAGTTTCTCTTTTCTGACACCACCGTCATTATTGCGTTGAGGACGATTGAAAGCTGTCTCAACATCTTCAAGATACATTGCACAAAAAGTTAGTGACTCATATGCGACCCATGCCTCCACCAGTGATCCTTCGGGCTTTGCCCTGTTTCGAACACATTTTTTCAACTCACCAATATATCTGCACAAATAAAAGGTATGCTACAAATTATTCAAAGCGTTCGTTGATCATGAATCTATTATATATATATATATATACACGCTTAATTAAGTACCTTTCTATTGGATACATCAATCGACAGTTCACTGGTCCTGCAAGCAATGCCTCATCTGGCAAGTGAATCATCACGTGAATCATACTTGTAAAGAAAGCTGGGGGAAATATCTGTTCGAATTTGCATAAGACGTTCACAATGTCGTCTTGCAATTGTTTAACATCCGACTTTCGCAAACACATTGCTGTCAACTGCGAAAAAAATCTCGACAACAACACGATTGGTTTCACCACATCAAGAGGCAATAAGTGTCGAATACCAACCAAAAGAAGGCGTTGAAGTATCACATGACAATCATGACTCTTCATGTTTGAAAATTTACACCCCTTCACGTTTACACAACGCGAGATATTGGAAGCATACCCATCTGGAAACTTTACAGAAGAAATAAAGTTGAAAAACTCTTTCTTCCCATTCGGCTTAACTGTAAAAAAAGGATGGCCTTTCTTCAATGTACCACCGACTCTCTGCATCCACAAGGATGACCTAATGCCCATTCGTTCCAAATCGAGGTGAGCTTCGATTGTGTCCTTCGTTTTTTCTTCAATGTCTAGAATTGTCCCGACCAAAGTATCAAACACATTTTTCTCAATATGCATAACATCTAGGTTGTGTCTCAATTTTAACTTTGACCAGTACGGGAGCTCAAATAACATACTCTTGTGCGTTCAGTTTAGATGTGTAGTTGGTCTGGGCGTACAGACCCTTTTGCCCAAATGACCAAATTCCAAATGATTTAACTGATCCAAAATCTCATCTCCGGACCATTCTCTTGGTCTTAGCCGAGTCTCTTTTGTGCCGTGGAAGGCTTTATCATTCTGACGCCACTCGTTGTCCCAAGGGAGCCATCTACGATGACCAAGATAACAAACTTTTCTCGCATGCCAAGACGATGTTACGTTTTCCTTGCATATTGGACATGCCAAATAACCCTTAGTCATCCACCCAGAAACCATTGCATACGCTGGAAAATTGTTTACTGTTCACATCACTGCCGCTCGCATGGTGAACATCTGCCCAGTATACTTATCGTATGTACGAACACCGTTTTCCCATAAATCTTTTAGCTTATCAACCAACGGCCGCAAATAAACATCAATGGACTTTCCTAGATCTTCGCTCATTATTAGAGTCAACATCATGTATTCTTTTTTCATGCACTTCCAAGGCGGCAGATTATAAGGAAACACGACGACCGGCCAAGTGCTGTGGTTTTGGTTTAAAACCCCAAACGGATTAAATCCGTCGGTGGCAAGTCCCAATCTGACGTTGCGTGGGTCAGCTGCAAAATCAGGGTACATCCGATCGAATTCTTTCCATGCCTCTCCATCAGCAAGATGCCTCATAACATCGTCATTTACCCGTCTTTCTTTATGCCATCTCATGTCGGTTGCCGTATGCATCAACATGTACAATCATTGCAACCTAGGCTTCAATGGAAGATAACGCATTACTTTTTGTGGAATCTTGATCTTTCTATTCTGTGATGTCATTTTAAACCTCGGCTCATTGCAGATAGGGCATTTATCCAACTGTTTGTTCTCCTTATAAAACAATATACAATTATTTACACATGCGTGAATTTTTTCATACCCCAATCCGAGACCTTTCAACACTTTTTGGGCATTTTTTTGATCTTCAGGTAAACAATTCTCCTTTGGAAGCATCCTCTTGATAACTCCCAAAAAGTAATCAAAACACTTGTTTGACAAACGAAACTTGATCTTGCCATGCATCAACTCCACAATTGCTGAGAGCACCAAAAAGTTCTCGCAACCCGGATATAATTCTTGCTTGGCATTTTTCAATAGTTTTTCATAGTTTTTAAATTCCTCACTGTCCATGGTTGGACGACCGTCATCTCCCCTTTCCTGATTGGTGTTGCTCAAGGCATATGGATAAACGTCATTTACAATATTCATAACTTGTTCACTAGGATCCACATTAGATTCAATAGTCTCCACTTGTGTCACGTATGAAGACGAAGTTTGGTCTAATAATTCTCCATGATGATACCAAGTAGTATAGGTTTCCATCATCCCATTTCTTACTAAATGAAATCGAACATTTTCAAATGTCTCCCACATTGAGTTATTACACCTTCTACATGGACATCGGATATGAGTTGAACCTGGGTTGTGTCTAGTTGCGAATTCAGTGAACTTATCTATTCCATCCAAGTACTCAACATCACATTTATTATGATTATGTATCCACTGTATGTCCATTTTGTCTGCAATCCCAATAAAAGTACAAGAGTTACAACAACTTCAACTACTGTATTGTCACCTTATTCCTCCGGTAAGGGCCCTATCCCATTCAAGAATGCACAGTTATGTGTCGTAATTTATGATTCCAATGGATTAAATTTCGACGTGGGCTAATTTCGGCAGCATCTCCTTACAGTTCTTCAAGTGCACGTTGTAGATACATAATATCCACCGTGTACTCAAAGAACAACAGGAAATGTTACCAAAATTTCCACTATCGAAACCTAATCCGTGAACCGCAAACTACAACATATAACTATGCATTCCCAAACTGTCCATAAAATGGGACAATTCAAGAATTAATTGGACCGCAGTCATGCTTTTGCATCCATACACGAAATCCAACTAATTCTCAAACGGGAAACTAAGCTTTTCTTGAAAAAACTGTACAAAGTTAAGTAGTATTAATTTCGTACAACACAAAACAATTTTGTACGTGATGTACACAAATTTGTGCATACAAATAAATTAAATCACAATAATTACTAAAGCTAAATAAAATAGATAAAATTAATAAAGATCAATTACAAATTCAATCCCAAAAAACTCCAACGTGACCGAAAAAGGGCATAGCACGCAGGCAAAGGTACACAATAACAAGTATAAGGAATCTGAAGTTGCTCAAAAATTGGTGTTCATATGTGATCAGGGGAAATAATATAGCTATAGAAAATAGGTTAAAATGAAAACCAAACTCTTGACCGAAATTTTAGATCTTTACAATCTTCCTTAAAATATTGCTTTTGCTTTTATTTTTTTATGGTAATTGTAAAAATTTCCTATCCATGAGGATTAAAAGCTCCTTTGCACCATTAATAGATTTAGTAAATCTTCATAGAGGGCATGATATGATATGTTATAAACTGTAAAGATAAAAGGATTGTTCATAAATTTCCAAAGAGTGTCCTGTTTGTCGACCCTTCTTGTTTCATATATCGAACTAGACAACTATTGTATAATGTCAGTTTTGATTTATCAGTAGTCCAGTGATCATTTCATTTGATTCAAATTGTTTGTTCATGTAATGGTATTCGACAGGTAGATTTCCTTGAGGGACACTAATATGTGTCATATGTGTGATTTTCTTGTTGGTGAAGATGCGAAGGCCTAAAGGACGACAAACTTTGATACCCTTAAATCCCGCATAGGCTATGACTGGGTAGATTTATATCCATTATTATTTGTGCCTTTTGTGAATAAGCTTTTAGCTGTTTAGTGGTTGCCTAGTTTTATTTGTTTCTGTGCATTATGTGTTGCAGGGCCTTAAGTATGTCATGCTATTGTTTTTTGTTTAATTGAGTTACGCAAACTCAAAAGAGCCCATTATTTGCAATCACGTTAATTTTCAAGACTTTTTCAAGTCAATTTAATTTATGATGATTTGAAGTAAACGTCATTTTAATTTCCATTGTTGGTAGATTCGCAAAAGACATGTATGATTGTATTAGGCTATAAAATGAAAAGTTGTCCCTTCGTTCAATTTCACGTTTTTGCTCACGTTTTAATCTCTCTTCCTTGCGTTGCCTCTCACGCATCAACCTCTCTTTTCTTTTTGTCTCTCACTCTTGTTTTTCCATTTCCTTTCTCATTCTATAAACAGAACAATCAAAATATCAGCATATTAATTGCTAAGCTTAAGAAACAATTGTTTAGGACTTAAAAATAGAACCTTTCTCCTCAGAATTTCTTGTTTCTCCAACTCCTTGCGGATCCGCAACTCATGAGCTTTAACATCTTTAGCGATTCTCGCTTCTTCACTCTACAAGGTGCAACTGGTTAAGTCCTTGGTTGAGAAAATATACTAATATACTAATATACTAAAGTTAACTGAACAAGTATACCTTGTGTTTCCTCTCAATTCTCAGGATGGAGTCATTAATTTGGCCTTCAGATAATACATTAGAGTTTCTAGTGCAGGTGCAACAACAAGGGGATCACTAAACTGAGTATTTACCCTCACATTAGAGAAAGAGTCCCTTTGTGCTACACTGCCATCATCAATAGGAGATCAAAATTTTCAATATATTGGGTATTTACCCTCAATCATATATGCATGATAAGAACAAAAAAGATCAAAATTTTCAATATATTGGGTAATATTAACCAAAATTTCAATACAATCATATATAAAAAAATGGATGACATAGAGGTTTTTAAATCACCTGAGTGTGATTAGGCGGCTATGGAGGTTTGCAGGTGAGCTATGGAGTTTTTGACTTGTGTTAGAACACTGAAAATTGAAAAGAAAGACAAAAAGGTATATTTTCGTGTTGACTTTGCGCGACGAATCTAGGCGTCACGCAAAACAGCTTTGTGCGACATAGTGAACCTGCGTCGCGCAAAGATGGAAAAAAAGTGGTAAAACAAGCTTGGTTTGGCGCTAAACTCTTGCACGACACATAAAACGTTGCGCAAGTGGTCTTTGCACGACGGTACTTTGCGCGACGAAGGAGTGCGTCACTCAAAACCGTTTTGCGCGACGAAGATACAACTACGTCGCACAAAACTGTTTTGCGCGACGCACTCCTTCGTTGCGCAAAGACCACTTGCGCGACGCTTGTGTGTTAGCGTCGCGCAAACATACTTTGCGTGACGAAATGTGCTGCGTCGCGCAAGTTTCCGTCGCGCAAACATGTTTTTGTACTAGTGGTGGTGCTGGTTAAGCCTCACAATGAGTTCGTAATAATATGGTCCAACTTTATTTTTTACGAGAATCGAACATAACTCTTCTCACTTACAAGTGAAAAGAAATACTATTAAGTCGTAGGCACATGTCTAGTTCAAAAGACGATCGTTTGAGGTTTTATCGTAAAACGCATTGATACTCAACTTTTGATCTAACAAACAACATCATGATCTTACTTCTTAAAGTTATATAGTTTCCTTCAACAAATCCAAAATATTCCTATGTAAATTGCCTGTCAATAATAGATCAAGCTCGGTCTACATCAGAATACCTCAACGAACAAACATCGTCTCATAGAGGAACATGTTTTGAAAACATCTGTCTTTCTCCATACAAGAGTTCAAGGTTTAAATGTGATAGGAAATCAATAAAAAAATGAGTTAGGAAATAATATACAACAAAGATTAAGGAGCCAATGAAGACTTTTTTTTTGAATACTTTGGATGCGATCCCTAATTCTTAACATTCTTTGACTAAAACCTTAATAGTATTCAAAGTTTGATCAAAGTCCCTTGACTTTGTACACCTCATTATATTACAATTAATATTTATATTTTTATAGTTTTGACATTAATTGTTTGATATTTTATGAGATTTATCATCCTATAAATTTAAAATCCCCCATTATAATACTATTAGAAACGGTTACAATAAAAAAATTCAAACATTTTGATTGAATAAATGGATAAAAACTATGTAAAAATAAGAAATAATAAATGGCAAAAGAATGTATCCATAGTGTTAAAAAAATTGGTACATTTCACATATAACAAAGTGGTACATTAATAAAGAAGAATGGATACATTATAAATAAATTAGGGTACAGATAAAAGATTAAAAAAAATATGAGTACAAATGAATATTTTAAAAATATAGGCGCTAAAAGTAATTAATACATGGGTACAAAATAAAACTAAAAAGAAAATATTACAAATTTAAAAAAATGTTACAAATTAAAAGTGGGTACAAACTAAAAATATAAATATATGATACAAAGTTTAGGCATAAAACATAAATATACCATATGTAATTTTTCCATGATTGATTAAATATACAATGTTACATGACGGTATACACATGGGTACAAACACAAATAAAACTTTAAAAAATATGGGCACAAAAAGAAACTAATATATGGGTACAAATTAAAAATGAAAAAAAATCTGGTACAAATTAAAAATAGGTACAAACTAAAAATAAAAATATATGATAAAAAATTTAGCCATAAATATAAATATACTAATTGTAACATTTTCAACACTAAAGGAATATATTTAAAAATAAAAATATTTTATTATTCAAATAATTAATGATGTTATTAATACTCAAGGACCTTGATCAAAAATTAAAAATGAATAGAATTTTAATCAATGCAGTAGTAAAAAGAAGGATGTGAACCTAATTTCATCTTTTTGTTTTTTTTGTTTTT